GATTACATAGCAATGCCCTTTTCTACAGGACGACAGACATACAACCTGGGGGATGAAGAATTAGAAGCTCGGGGAGGGCAGCCTGCAAGTAGAGTAACCACATCTGTGGGAAGCCCTCTCCAACACCTTGGACTTTTGCTGTTGCTGTAAAGGACCTTGGCAGATATGATATTGAATGAGGATCATCTGGAGAAACCAGAAGGTCTGAAAAAGTTCTCCCCTGAGGTTGAGCCTCAATAGTGGAACCAATATGACTGAGGATCATCAGAATGGCAAGCAGACTAGAATGTTCAAGATTGAGTGGGATAGTTTTTATATAACCCATAGAAATATGCCAACCAGAGAGGCAAAATCTCACCTCTGGCCGATATCACTAGCAGGAGAGAGGGGAGAAGCGCCAGTGGTGAGGAAGCTCCATCGAGATGGGACAACAAGTTCTTGATGATGGAATCTGGTCTTAGTGTGCAAGTGAGGTGTCATTAGTGGACAAACTCCACCAGTGTAAGTTTTTTGACAGAAGGTGGGATGGAGAGCACTTGCAGAGGAACGTGAAGACAACGACTGAGTGTGAGGTGTGGAACCTCTCCATTAAGAGAAGTGACTAACCAAGCCAATAGTCAGGAGCAAGAGTTTATTCGTGGAGGACAACCCTGGACAGAAACTGTTGTATCAAAAGATGCAACAACCCCCCTCATTGATGATGACAATAATTGGTGGACTACAAGAATCTTTCCATGAAGACAGCCAGCCTGAGAGTTGGAGCAAGATACTATTGTTGGATTAAATTCACCAGTGCAAACTACATTACTGAATGGTAACGCAATGGACACCTCCAAGATATGAGGAAGAAGTGTGGTTCCAGAGAGACCTTACCTAACAAATGAGATGCATTGTCGAAGCAACTACAGGTTGTAGGGCGACCAGAGGTCTATCAAGACCCATGGAATAGATGTGGTGTACATCATACCGTCTGGTATCGTCCGAGTATGGGGCTCCTACACTCTTTGTGACTCAGTTGCACTCTAATTATACTGGAATCCCCCGTCTAGGATGAATCATGGACTTGCCAATGAAAGATCTGCATCAAGATCACACATGCCCATGTTCGATACAAAGCATATTACATCCCCAATGTCTAAGAGAGCAGCAAAAGAACACCTGGACCTCTTCCTAGGAAGGTTCTGCCATGTGATTGCATGTAACCTCTCTCGTGTGAGTGGTATCGCCATGAATCTACAGTTATTGGGCTTTAAGTGAATACATCAAGGTAAATCCGTGAGCTGAAAAATACTATATCACATGCCTTATTTAGACCAGGATTTACAAATCACTTTAAACAGATATTAGACTTAGATCAGGATTTACAAATCACTTTAAACATATATTAAGTTTAGACCAGTATTTACACATCACTTTAAACATATATTAGATTTATACCAGTATTTACAAATCACTTTAAACAGATATTAGATTTAGACTAGGATTTACTCATCACTTTAAACAGATATTAGATTTAGACCAGGATTTACACATCACTTTAAACAGATATCAGATTTAGACTAGGATTTACACATCACTTTAAACAGATATCAGATTTAGACTAGGATTTACACATCACTTTAAACAGATATTAAGTTTAGACCAGTGTTTACAAATCACTTTAAACAGATATTAGATTTAGACTAGGATTTACACATCACTTTAAACAGATATTAAGTTTAGACCAGTATTTACAAATCACTTTAAACAGATATTAAGTTTAGACTAGGATTTACACATCACTTTAAACAGATATTAGATTTAGACATATATTACGTTTACATCTCTAATAAAATATATTCGCTTAAATCCCACTTAAACTAACCTGAATCTTCATCGAACTTTGCGTTCCATTTTTCTTGTTCTGAGCGAGATGTTGGAATGTCGTTGGAAATTGGTATTTCTGTTAGGTAATCATCAACTTCGTCATCAACCACGTGATTAATGGCAGCCAGAAGTTCTAAACCGTCTAGTTTGTCATTATTATCCACATCATGAAGCCTGTAGAGATTTCAAAGAAAAGAAACATATTTAAAAGCTGGCCACCTGTAAAAATATATGGTGAATTTTGAAAGATATAAAATATATTGTATATGTTAACTGAGTATAATAAACTATATTTATATAAACACCGATAAACGAAAACAATCTCTTTGTGACCTAACCATATGGACAATCAAGGACCACTTGGTCCTTAAAGGCTGTCCCTATACAACCACCCTTGAAACAAATAACAAATTTAAACCACGTCCATGTTTTTCAAGAAATTATCTATTCCACTGTTAAGTTATTGAAAAGTGGTGGCTGTAAAAATAAAACAGACTTAGCTGGAGCCTAACATACTTTATCAGATCTTAAACTCGTGTCCTATTGTCTTCAATCATTTCTTATACTTCTATTCTCAAGAATAAATAAGTTAAGTGAACCAAATCCGTAAATAACTAGAAGTCTTCGTAGTCATAGTAAAGATGTTGGTATGTTTTAAACTACATTATGTTGTTATATTCTAATTTGTTTAAATGTTGATACAGTCTGAACCGTTTAGATGTTGATCTAATCTGAACCGTTTAGATGTTGATCTAATCTGAA